TGAGCAAAAGAAATATTTGTAACCAGTTTTGGTGTAATCACTCAAACGAGCATTGACCTGTTTTTTATAAAACAAAGCAATAGTGACCCTTCCCAAATGCACCTTATATTGCAATTATTATGCTATTTCAATCATCTAAAATTAGGTAAAAGAACGTTCCAATGATTTCATTTGCTTTTATGCGTCATCGACCATGACAATAACTTAACTGTCATAAACTACAAAGAAAATGACACATTACCTGCCCGAAATCTTGGATCCTCTAAAAACTTATTAGTTATTACTTAATTATTAGTATCTTTTTGAAATTAGTTTTCAAATTTTTATTAAATATTTAATAAATCTAATATTGTAAAAAAATTTATTAAAATGTTGTAAAAATAAAATTTAATTATGAGATATAATTATTTATATTTAGTATATTTAGATAAATTTAATGTTGCATATTTATTAAATATATTTTTCTTATTAAAATTTTTTTAAATATTAATGTATAAAAAATAAATCTATTCAAGCAACAGTTTTAATAAAAATTAAACTACTATTTATTAATATTTAGTTTAATTTTATTTTCTATTATGTATTAAAATTTCAACTTATTTAATACTTATATCGAACGGATCAACGAGCCGAATCCAATGAACTTTTTTATCGACAAGCTGTCATTGTTGAACCCTTCACACGCCGACCATTCTCACGAGCCAAATTTGGAGATCACTAGGCCATTTAATTAATATCACGAGATTTTTATTTTGCATTAAGCTTTTGATTTGAGCTCATTTGGACTCGAATTAGACACCTATAATTAAATTTTATTCATACAATATTCTAATTTTTTGCAATATTAGATTTATTAAATATTTAATAAAATTTTAAAAACAAATTTTAAAATAATATCGAAAGTTATGATTAAAAGAAAAACAAAACAGGCAAAATAAAAAAATGAGAAAAGTAAAATTATTTTAATTTAAAAAAAAACGTAATATGTTTTGAAGTTTTGAAGAAAAACTTAATTTAAATTTACATTTTCTTTGAAGATAAAAAATTTGTTCAAAATTAAATAAAATATAAAAATATAACAGTGTGATATATTGTATATATTTTAAATTTTTTTAACGACTTAATTTCAAAATTTTGACTGGATTAGTAAATCGGCCGTTAAGTGAACAATTATACATATTTAAAATTTTCTTAAGATACTTAATTATATTATTAAAATTTTAATCATAAATATTTTAAAATTTTATTCTTTAGCCATGTGCCTATAGATAATAAAGAGAGGGCGAATGGTACGAATGAGAGAGGTTCTGGTGTGCGTGAGGAGAGAGGAGAAGAAAGTGTTATCTCCACTATATCGACAGGATAGGGACATGACAAGGGCCAAACTGAAGGACAGATATCCTAGATTTCATATGGATGACAAGGATTCAATAAAAGTTGTTTAATTTCAATTATTATACACATACATAATTTATTTTAATTTTTATGATAAATTTAAGTAAAATAATATTAAAATAAAAAAATTGTAAGTCGCCCTCTCTCACAATTTATCATTTCCTATGCTTCTTAATTCGAATGTCAACGTCTCAAATGCTAGCAAATTTTATATTCTGTTTTGGTATGACAATCAAAGTAATATAGATATTTTTTATGAATAATTTTGATATTCCAAATGCATTAACATTATTCATATTACGAATGAGTGATGTTCAGGTGACTTTGTATAATGTTGCATCTTTAGTTTGTCATTTTCGACCGCATTCACTCAAATCGAATGCATGAGTCTTTTCTTGGTGATACCAGTGTTTAGAGCACAATAATAGTTTATTTTCTAGATAGACACTTGATGTTATGTTTATAGATTTCACCATTGTTTGATCGTGTTGAGCATTTATTTGATAAATTTGATAATATGAATGTGTTGAGCCAATCCATATTTGTAAAATGGTCAATGTTAAGGTGGTTTTGATTGCAATGGAGGTTCTATGAACTTGTTTCACATGATTTCACATCCGTTGATTGTTGTTTGTGTCACACTTACTCGAATTAGCTGTGAAACATATATGGAGGAATTATGAGCTAGTTGAGTAGCATAAGAAGGTTGGGTTGAACTAGTAATGTTTAGGAGATCATGGTTTGATTATCTAGCATTCTCTAAGTACTAAAGGATTGAGCTTAATGTTCCTCCATCCTACTCATTTAATCTTTCAAAACTAGGACTTAGGTAGTTTTCAAAGCTAGATTATATTGTTCTTGAATGGGAGATTGATTGTCAGCTATTGAAAAAGTATTTATAAAATGTTGAAAATATTTTTCACAAATGACATCAAACTGTTGCATGTGAGAATATTCACGATTGTAAGGAAATAAGAGTTAACCTCTTAGTTTTAGATAGAGATCTATAGTACAAATTTAAATAAAAGATGGTTGTAAGTGGCAGAAATATTTTTTACATGAAAACATAAAAAGTTATAAAAAAGACTTGACTCAATTAAAATAATTTTACCAATGTATCTCGTAAATTATAAATAATGCTCTTTCTCATAATTAGAAAAGACATTAATACAATGTAGTATATATAAGCTATGGAAGATGAATTTTATAGTGGAATTTGAAGTAATATTGAGGTATTAGAGTTATCTTTAAAAATTTATTTTTGATTTATACAAGAGGTGTATTATATATCTTAACGTCAATAGTTGGAGTTGGTGTTGAAAACATATATCAACCTTATTGGTGATGGTATGCATTGACATTATTTGTGATGCATGGCTAGCAATGAAATGAATGAGCGTTAGTGTATGTGCTTATGACATGCATCAATCTTATATAAAATATCATGATTATCATAATTAGTGATGAAATCTGTGGTGCATGACAGTCTACAGACTGTAGTTGAGTTACAATGGTCAGGCTATTATAATTGAGCGATGGTGGATGTACGATGGTGATTAGATGACGATGTTCAAGAAATAGAGATTTTTGGCAAAGATTATTAACATCGAATGTCAAAATACTAAATCTAACTGGTGATCATCAAAATACTCTATCATCAATATACTTAAGCTATTTTATTAGGGATTCTTTCAACATTTTAGTACTATAATAATCTCAAAAATTAAATGATCTTGAGCCCATAAAATTTTATTTTTTATTATCCATATGTTACATTTGATTATAAGCATATAAAATTCAAAGATAAATATCATAAACTTTTTGGTGCTCTTCTGCGCACCCGCGGAGCACTTTTGCCGTGACTCGTGCTTCCAACGCCCACGGCCACAATGGAAAAGGAAAGACGGGCTAGACAAAGAAGCCAACGAACCAGAGCGCGCCACGTAAGCTGGACACAGAAATCGGAAAATCCATGCTTGGGCGACGAGTTTCAAAAGTAATCGAGAATATTTACACCTGACTGTTCCGAATATGCCTTTTGGCGCTCTGTAGTCTCCTCTTTCTCTTCCGTAACACCATTAAAATCCACCGACCGCACTCTCCATTTTCTTTCTCCTTTTCACCATAGGATTCCATCTCCAGTTGCTTGGAGTTGAAGCTAAGGGAGAGGCGAACGAGAAGGGATAAAGAGAAGGAGAAATGGACTTGGACTTCTACCAGGAGCTTCTCCTGACCGCCTTCTTCTCCGTCCTCTTCGCTTTTCTCTTCGGCAAGATTACTGGCGATGGATTTGGTGATGGAGAACGCCCCGACGATGCCCTCGCATCGGCCGATCTCTCTGATTCCAGGGAGAAGCTGCCTGTACCAGAGGTGGAAGAGCTCGAAGAGGCCGTTAATGGATTCAAAATAGGAAAGGAAGTTCTCGGATCTGAGCGAGAGATCACTTGCATGATGGGGGATTCTGCAGAAAGATCGGATGAGGTGCGAGGCAGCGGAAAGGAGATGAGGGCTGATACGGTTGAGGTTGGAGAGGAGGAGGAGGAGATTAATGCTAAGAAAATGGCTGAGGCGATGGTTATTGAGAGAGACGATGCTGAGGACATCAAGGAAGAAGAAGAGAAAGGGGAACTGATAGAGGCCAAGTTGTGTTCATCTGAATTGAAAATGTTCTGCGGAGGTGTGTCCGAGATTGGCAGTCGGAGGGGAAAGGAGGTTAGCATTGAGTTCAGGGGAGGATCTCTACTTCACGGGGAGGACGAGTGGGAGAGGATTGATAAGAGTGAGCTGGAAAAGCTTTTTAGTATGGCGGCAGAGTATACTGTTAGCTCATCTGGTGTGGAGGCACTGGCTCGTTTGAGCAGAGATGTGCAAATGAATTTGTACGGATTTTACAAGGTAGCGACGGAGGGGCCTTGCCATGAGTCGCAGCCATTGCCTCTGAACGTGTCTGGTCGGGCGAGATGGTACTGTATCTCGTCTTTCTTGCAGGAACATCCTCCCCTGAATGCTGATTATATTTTTAGTTTATTTTTATTTACATATCTAATATTTAAATTTTTATACTTATTTATATTATATTTGAATTTTTAAATCACATAAAAAAATTCCTAATATTAATTTATTTAGAATAAATAACATTTATTTTATTCATACATATTTAATTTGACGTGATTTAAAAAATGGTATATAAATAAATATAGAGATTTAAGTATTAGATATGTAATTTTCTTTTAAACTTATTAAGTGGCTGAAATAGAATATTTGCTTGAAGACGTTAAAATTGATTGCTTGATGCTTATTACTTGGAAATTTTTTGTTGGGTTCGAGGTGACGTAATTTTAAGAAGAGCTTAATGGAAGATTTTGGGAAAACAGAGTCAGGTGCTGCTTTAAAAATCTGGAGAAGAAACGCATTTGGTGATATGGTAGATGCCAAATGAATTAACTTCTGAAGCTGGATACATGCTGGTTCACTTCTTGATTCATTTTGTTGAAGCTTGGTTGCATTAATGGAAATATTTTCAAGGTGAAGGAGGATAGGACAAAGTACTAAATAAGTTTAAACTTCTATGTAAAATCATTCATAAAAATTTGGGTCATATGCCTTGGCTCAAACTTATTAAGGTGGGTTTTATTATAATTGAATTTTCCTTGAGATTAGTGTAATAGAAGTTTTATATAGATTACTTAAACAATCATCGATCTCAGAGTGAAAATAATGATGATAAAACTCATCCTGATTTTGTTTCGGTCAGATTATTCTCCTGATCCAAATTTTCTCCTTCAAATAGAAGGAGAGTTAGCAAATAGCTTAAACAGTTGGGTACTTTAAAGACAAATTCTAGCCTTGAATGCATCCATGGTGGCATTTCCTCAGAAAAATATATGCACTGATGTAGCCATCTAATTAAATAACTCCCCTGTCTTTTACCTTGTTCTGACAATTATTTGTTACTTCGAATCCTCATAGTTATGGAAACTCCTTTGTATCAGAAGACGCATTTTGATTTATTTATTAGAATAGGATAGATCAACGAACCTTAAGCAAAACATATCATTCTGTCCTATTGTCCCAATTGAAATGGAAGTGTTAGAACTGGAAATCGGTTTGTTACATGGAGCATTTTTTTTTTCCAAGCTAAGGTAATACAAAAACCTCATTGAACTTATCTCAAGTGAGCTTAATTTGTTATTTTATTCCTACTGCATTAATTTTTTTTAATATCTTTTGTATGTCAGTAATGAGACTACTGATTAATTAATGCAAGGCATGCTTGGCAAAAACTAGGGAGCATGACACCTGAGACAGCCATGGAGCAGTACATCAATCTTCTTTCTAAAAGCATTCCTGGATGTATTGTCGAAAGTTCTGGAGTAAGTCAAGCAGTTGGACGTGGGAACTTCTTTTTCATGATATATATATTCGTTTGAATGATCCTCTCTTATATTAATAATGTTGAATACTTAATTTCTAGGAGGATGCCAAATTTTATAGAGCTGATGATCCCACAGGGAAAGAGATATTAAATACAGTGCATCATGATTTGTACTCATTCTTGCAAAATCAACTTAGTCCTGGAATAGAAAGGTAGCTTTATAGCCTTTAGTTAATGGTTTGCAGGATGAACTTTTAATTATTATGTTTAAAGTCTCAACTTATAGTTCATTCTTGTAATGATAAGATGATTAATGTATTGTCTTTACAGGAAATTTGAAGGGCATCATGATTTGGCTTCTCTTGAAGCTGAGAGTGCAACTGGAGGCTCTAAATTCCTAGAGCAAGGTATGCTGTTCACAATACCCATCTTTTTATTTTCAATGACCATTTAGCTCTTCTATTTTAGTAGTTATTGATTGCATAAATTTATGCAAGTAGCAACTTTTTGAAACAGGTGCGAATGTGAAAGTTTTCATGACAACAATATTTAGGTGGGTATAGTTGGGAAGTGAGGGTTTATACCTTGATAGTTGATGTTTGGTTAGCCTATTGTTTTATCTGTAAGGATTTGTTTGGGACAGCTTTTTTATTGTTCCTTAAAACGGAGTTTTAGTAAAAAAATTTAAATTTTTTTTACTAAAACTCTGTTTTAAGAAGCAATAAAAAAGCCGTCCCAAACGAAGCCTAAGTCCTTTGCAAAACTTCATTTACTCATTATTTTATTTTTGAGGGTTTAAGAACTATTTATAGCTACTAGCTATGGCAATAATTTTAGGGCGAATTTAAAATGTTCCCTACTTCACAGGAATCATTTCTTTTGAATATTAAGAACCTGTTATCACAACAAATTTTAACTCTTTATGATACATTTAAGCCATTAAAAAATCAAAACTAGCATATAGTAAGTCATAAATACTTGCTTACAATTATTTGTCATCCATTTTGAACCATCTTTCCATTATTCAGTTCATTATCATAGCAAGATGATGTAGCACATCTTAGATTTTAAGATTTTCTAATGCTAATTTATTATGAGAGACAACAATCTTGCAACATGCACACAAAACATTTTAAATCACAAACTATCAATCTTAAAAATATTCATTATTTTTTATTAAAGCCAACATTCAGAAGAAATAAATTCAAGCGATAATTTAGTAGCCTTATTATAGTAGACACAACAGAGAGATTTAGAATCAAGAATGCAATGCAACAAAATTTAATTTGTATCTGATTTAAGTAAAATTAATCACACAATCAGACCAATAACAAACTTTAGAGCAAGAAATGAAAGGAAGAAAGAAAATGTGACCAAAGCAAGAATTAAACATCTTAAATAAATCTTTTTAAGTGTCGTATTTATTCAATGAGTTGATTCTTGAAAGTAGAAGTAATAACACATCCAACTAGGACTTTATTTAGAAGAAAATTCATTTTCCTTTGTATTTGTTTATTGAGATTAAAGTCTCTTATTTGTTTAATGAGTCAGACTTTCAAAAGTAGAAGATACATCTAATTAGAACCTTTATTAAAAAATTGACTTCAATTTGTATAAGCCTAAGACCCGTAGTTCTAATAACTGAAATCCTTTGAAATTTTCTATGCATTGATTAATACACCATAAAAGAATTCCTTACAGTTGCTGCTAGAAACATATAAATCCCAACAATTGATGGAAGCCATAGAAGTCTAGTTGTAGAGATCAGCAAATTTTGTGAGAGGAAGATAAAATCAAGGTGTTAAATCTTGCAAGCAGAGGAAGATTGCAAAACTACAAACTATGACACAAGAAGGCTATAGAAATTGTAGGTTACAAATCTTTTAAAACGACATAGGATGTTTCTAGGAAGATTCATGTAACTTTATTGCCAAAAAACGAAAGGGTGCTGTTGAGGAGGTTCACATTAATATGCTCAGCTTTGAATAACTAGCTTCAATTAATTATTTAAATTGATAATCGTCAAGCAAATTTGAACATAATTATTTTATTTGTGCTAACATTGTTGCTTTGGTGAAAATAAATCGTCAAGCCACATAAATATTAAATGCAATGTGGACTAACATTCTTCTTATAAAAGCTACTTGGAATAGCTTTAATGTTAGGGGTGATGATTTATGCACTTTTAGATTCATCCAAATAGAATAAATTTTGAAACTTGATCTTTTGTTGAAGCACTCCCTATTTAGAAAGTGGGTTAAATTTCAAAATAGTCTCCCAACTATCATATATGGTCATTTTAATGTCAGAGTATAATGTTGTCCAAATTAGTCCTTTGAATGTACAAAATTGATCTAAAATGATCCCTTTAGGACTAATTGAGATCAATTTTATATCATAATAACAACATGAGGGACTATTTCAGATCAATTTTATATAGCCGAGAGACTAAATTGGGGCAATGTGATGCTTTGAGACTAAATTGGTCATACATAAATAGTGTGTTTGATGACTATTTTGGGTTTTTTTTTTTTTTTTGTTAGAAAGACATTAAAATAGTCACACGCTTCATTTCCTTATAAGCTCTTAATGAATTTGTGTATTAAGAAATTAAGAATAAAAAACAAAATATATTTTAGTTTGATTGCTAGAGATAAGTTCGTTGGATACTTCAATAAGAGTTAAATAAGCTTGCTCAATTTGTTTATCAACTTTAATAGGCGCGAGCTATTCATTTTTTTTGGGAATTAAACCAAGAATGGAACAAACAAGAAAAAAGAAAATGCAGCGAAGAGGAAAGAACACCAGGGTTTAATATGGAAAAACCTAAAATCGGGGGAAAAAAACGATGGAGGCACACCAAGAAATACAGTATGAAAATGGGAAAAATTGTGCAGGTCTTCACTCTAGCACTCTCTTCTTCACTTTACAATCATGTCCACTATCTCCAGACACAGATGTAGGAGTTACACACCCCTTTAATTGGATACAACTCTTAAAAAACAAAGAGAAAATCGGCTCAACCGACTCGCAGCACTGTGGCGTTATACCCATGGTGCCTCGACGATGACTCCTTTCTCAAAAAAATCCAGTAACATTGCATCAATGGGTTTAAAACACTGTGGCGTTGTATTCATAGCGCCTTGATGTTGAGCTCTCTGTCCAAAGGGGATTCATAATGCCTTGGTGTTGAATTCACAACTCCACGACATTATAAGGACAAGAATAAAAAAATTTCAATGCTTCTTCCATGAGCCCCCAAGCAGGGGACAAGCTAGCCCCCCTGCTACCCCCATCAAGCACCTCGTCAAGCTTGACCAACAAAATTGAGGTCTAATTCAATATCACAACCTGATTGATATACACAATTAGATTCCACACAAAACTAACAATTTTCATATTCAAGATTTACTTTATCAATTTGTTCATTTTCATTTTCACCTTGTCTTCAATGCTTTAAATTGTTCATTCAATTGATCCCTAATATTTTTCTAGTAACAAATATTGTTTTTTTAAGTTCATATTTTAGATTAGTCCATATAGTTTTAGGTTCATCTGTAATACTTTGTCAAAATAATTGAGCACAACTCTTTAATTTTGATTTAACTTATTTAAATTTTTTAAAATCAAATAGTTGATAATCTTCAAAATATACCAAATTACTGATCGAAATCGAAGATTTCTCAAGATTATAACTCCCATTGAATGTTTGAATGTAATTTGTATGCTTATGGTAGTTATAATATGTTTGCTTAGAACCATGATCTTCTTTTATTAATATGTTTACTAGGATGAGATGCACAATAAAGGCATATAAACAACCACAATTTGCATGTTACCATATCATAAATTTTATAAGAATTAGGTAGTTTTAATGTAAGAATAGCACTTGTATTTTTATCATTCAAAACAACGATTGCACAAAAAAATGAAATCCCACAAAGAAAATAGTGAACAAAAAATGTAAAATTTCAGCAATGATCAAGATTCACACCATGAGAAATTATTCAACATATATTGCACTTGATAAAATTTCTATCACACTAACTACTAAACTAATTCATAATAAGAACAAGGGTAGAAATCACCAACACGAAGATTCATGCCTCATTTTAGTACATGGATACTAACTCTTGTAAGTACCTGTTAATAGTTGTGAAGGGTATGAAGAATATAATCCAATGTGTACACGTATTAGATTTGACTAAAGTTAAAATTTTATTTTAATTGTTAATGTTCAATGATTTTTGCATGCTTCACAGGCTCTACTAAAGTCTATTAAATTATAGAATAAGGCTCAACAAAATCTTTCCATCAGGTTGTAGCTGTAAATCATGCAAACCTCAGGTTTCATTGGGGTCTGTTACGCCGGCCCAGGAGGGGCCGGCTGGACCGGTCCAACCCGGACCGGTCCACTGCTACTCCAGGCGGAGAAAGCAGACGGGGCGGAAAAACGCGAGGTCCACGTAGGCGGCTTGGGGGGGAGATTAGAAGGGAAATTTTGAATGGGAAGGCTGTTTTAGGAAGTTTATTATTGTCCTTTATGATTAATTTTGTATAATTAGGAGTTTGGGGGGGAATTTGAATCTCATCTTGAATTTGAGTTTTCACTTTGAGATCTAGGTTTTGTTTTGGGCTCTTGGCTTCGCCGGAGACTTTGGAGAGTACGTTCTTCCTCTCGAATTGAAGAACAAATTGTATCTTTGCTATTTGTTTCGTCTACTAGTAAAAATACAAGTCTTTGCTTGCGTTGTCTCTCAATATTCTCGCAAAATTCACTGTTTTTCCTGCGCATAGTTGCTGTCCACTGTTGGAGACAGCAGTTTTCTCCTTGTTCGGCTTCAGTTTTGGTTAGGAACTACTTGAAATCAAGTATTTCCTATCAGGGTCCTCTTCTTTTAATTTATTATCACATTTCAATAACGTGCATGAACTCACATTACATGTCCTACCTTACAATCAAATTGTCAAAAGATCCACGAATCAACACTATAGGAACTAAATTCCACTTCAACGAAGTTTGATAAAAGACTCTAAAATTTCAATTAATCAAGGCCGAGCACATAGCAAAGCACGCCAAATAGTTCACAAATATTTAGGAATTTCACTTGAGGGATGTGATCATAACACGGATTAGATGGATAACTGGGTTGAGTTGGTCAAAGTAGGATTTTCAGTAGGCACAAGGCTTTTCAAATGGTCCCAAATTCTTGCTTTAACACGTTGGTTTTGGTAGCCCTCTTCTCTCCTCTCTCTATCTCCTAACCCAACTTGCATGTTGGCATGCCAGTGGATTGAACATGCTTGAAAGAAAAAAAAGAAAAGAAATTTCTAGCTTTCATGGTTTAGTCGGGTGGAGGTAAAAATAATATACTTTAAAAGCATCTTTGAAATCACTCAAAAGTATTGATTTCATTTTCATATGCAAAATGAGTGAAAATCAAATCAAATATATTTTCTATCTGGCATAAATGGTGTTAGACTTTATGAATATATGATTTTTCTTCGACCATATCGTGATGTTCTATGCCATCTCTTCTCGATTAGTATAATGTTGATGACATGTTTTATGTGGTATGGACAGGTTGATCTTATTGCTGCAAACCGCCTCTCTAATCTTTAGGTGTTCGAGTCTGTGGTGGTGGTGGCTAAGGTAAAGTAATTATCTTGTAAGGCTGCACAAATTTGTCTTGGAGCTTTAGGATTATTATGCATGAAGAGCTCATGTTGAGTTGGCTAAGGTAAACCTAAATTGGCTATCAATCGTGCATTCTGGGTTCACGAATATTGATACTTAAATACGATCATGCTTTAAAAGCATAAGCGGAAGCACAGTGTTCTTCCCCTAAGAAACCAAGCCTTGAAGCTTCAGCATCAAGAAGTTTCTAGTTGAATTAACAAACAAGAATCCACTATCTCTGCAGTCTCTTTGACATTACCCCATTCTCCATGGCCAGCATGGAGTTTTGACTTGGGAGCATATCATATAATAGTCATAAGTCACAGCAATGTAGTTGAATAGTGACCAGTTCACTTTTGTTAAAGCAGTTAAAAGGCCAAATAACTTTTCTGCTTTGATCCTGTTGGCTCTAATGAATCTTTGCTGTAAGATGCAAAACAGAATGAAGCATTTTGATCATCTCTAGCTGATTGCTTCTCTATTGTTTTAGATATTCTCAACGAAAATTTCATGTTGGGATATGCTCTTACTTTTTTTTTTTTTTCCTGTGGGTTTGGAGAAATTATTCTGTGCGGACGCCGAACGACTTCCGGAGATCAACCAGAATGCGTCACATCAGAACATCTTCTAGAAAATTCTTTGGAAGATGTTCGGCGTCTGCACAAAATAATTTGTCCTGAATTTGATGTTATCTTTTAATGCTCATTAGATCCTTTAGTATAGCATACTTTAATTTGAGAAATTTGTTTCCATAAAATATACTCGTAATGCATGGCTTACTGTGATTGGTTCACATTCAAAACTCTGATCTTTGTTTCTTCTATTGATCTCTCTCATATTTCTTCCATCAATTTCCTTTTGCCATTATTTATGTCTAGATGCTTCGGCAGGGCTTGCAGGCACATTCCTCCTCAACCTGCTGTTTCCAACCAGAGTGGAACTCTTCAGTTTATACAGGGAACCAGACTCTCGCGACTGGTATTTCCTATCATATTAGGCCACCAGCTCTGAAGATATATGCGTATTGTAAATGCTTTGCTTCCCCTGTGATTGTTCATACTTAAAATCCTCTTTCACCAATTATTCTCTCACCGCAATCTTCTATTCTATATTTGTTTAAAGCACTTTGTCTCTGCCTTCGTCATATTTGGATATCATTTGAAAACCAAATTATCTCAAACCATCAAAATCTGTAATAGTATTAAGGTTTGATTTTCTTGCCTTGGCCATGAGTGCAATCACTGTTCTGATATTTGGAGTTTTAGGGGTGTAATTGAGTCAAAGTTAACTCATAAGTTTGCTTGGGATGGACTTGATAAATGACTTGTATTTTGAGTTTGATGTGCTGACGGGCCGAGCTGGAGCTAGGGGTGTAAATGAGTCGAGCCGAGTTCGAGTTACCCCAGCCTGAGCTTGTGCTTAAGCTTGGTTAATTAATCTCGAGCTTTTGTGTCTAATTTTATAAAATTGAGTATTTTGAGTTTGGTGTGTTGACGGGCCGAGCTGGAGCTAGGGGTGTAAATGAGTCGAGCCGAGCTCGAGTCACCCCAGCCTGACCTTGTGCTTAAGCTTGATTAATTAATCTCGAGCTTTTGTGTCTAATTTTATAAAATTGAGTTGGCTTACGAGCCAATTCATTTATTATACAAGATAAAATCGTTATTATTCAAACAATTGTTATAAAACATGATAAAACTAATGAGAAATTGAATGAAAATAATCCTTCCAGTAAAAATGTGGCGCTTAATTTTAAGTGAATTGCTATTTAATTCTGGTCGGAATGAGTATTTGATGCACAGCGGTATCTAATAAAGTCACTATATTAGTGATAGGTTAATGAGAGAAATAAATATAGAGTAAAATTTCAAAATAATATCTCTATTATTAATAAATATTCAATTTAGTCCTAAATTTTTATAATAATTTAATATAGTTCTTCAGTTATTAGAAAATATTTTAATTTAGTCTCCAAGCAAAAAGTAATACTTAAAGTTAATCGTAAGGATATTTTGAATATTAATGTATGTAAGATAATATTATTATTATTTAGATATTTTTATTTATTATATTAAAATAATTACAAAATAAAAGTTAATCAATTAAATAATAATAGTGTATAAACGGTAGCTTATGTTAATTTTTATTATAATTTTATTTATTTATTTTAATATGAGAAATAATAAATATAATAATAATAATATAAATTCACATATATTCTTATATCTAAAATACTCTCATTTAATTATTGAGGTTAATTTTAATTATTATATTTAATATTGAGATATTTTTTAATAGTAGGGGATTATATTAGATTATTATGAAAGTTTAAAATTAAATTAGACATTTAGTAATAATTGGGGACTATTAAGGCTATTACTCAAAAAATATATTAAATATTTGTGTTTGGTGGTTTGTAGGTAGTGACTAAGCCTAAATTGCAGACATTGGAAGAAGGAATGGATGAGGGAAGTCTCTTTCCTGCATTTGGAGACATTAGAAGAATTTAAAATAACAAATATTTTTTTAATATAAAAAAAAAAACCTTATGTCTTTTGCGAGGAATTTCTTCTGGAGAATTTGTCCCATAGAAAAAAAAAAAGTTGCTAAGGAGTCAGTCGACATCACGTGCTCTTATCATTTTGTATATACTGACTAAGATTTTATTTGTGATAGTTTTTTTTATTATTTTTGAAGCAACTTTTTAGTTAAAATTTTTTGATACTGAAAAGATACTTTAAAAGCAATGAAAAAACTGTCTCAGATAATGTCTAAATTATCGTATATGCGAATTACATGAATTATTTGTAAATAGACGTTTGTTGCAATGTGTATGCATAGGCATCTATTTAAATCATTTACTATGACTTTTATGTAAGACTTATTGTTATGACTCTCAACATTTTGTTATTTCATATCTTAGGTTTAAGATTTATTAAGTTGAATAATTATTTTTATTTTGTATTTGGAAGATGTATTTGAAGTATCAAAAGGAAATACTCTTAATAATAAAAATAGTTGGTGGTGAAATTAAAATGTGTAAAAAAATAATAATAATAAAAAGCTTCATTATCTCAAATAATATATATATATATATATATATTTAAGTATATTTAACAAAGGTAGATGAAATATTTTGTTTTTAAAGAGATTGTGAAAATACCATTGACCTTAATAACATTAGCATCCTAAATGAAAATAAAGATTTTTATTCTTATCATCATATTAGTAAAACAAAAACTAAAGATGATTTAAAAAAAAAGTGTGGAAAAAGATGTTGGACTTAATGATATTCTAATAGAGGTGTTGAAATGCTTAAGAGATGAATGAATTGTTTGCTTACAAAACTTTTAATATTATTTTAAGGATTAAAAAGATATCAAATGAGTGAATTGTGTTGATTAATATTTTTAAGAATATAAGTGATCTACAAGAGTGTGCAAATTATGGAGGAACTAAGTTAATGTTTCATACATTAAAATTATTGGAGAGAGTTATTGAGCATAGGTTACGACGGGATATTAATGTTTCTCTAAATCAATTTGGATTCATGTTGGATAGGTCTGGGTAGGTCTAGAAGTTATACATTTATTGAGAGGTTTGATGGAAAGGTATAAAGAGAATAAATACTATATATAATATTTATTAATTTAGAGAATGCATATGATAAAGTTCAAAGAGAAGTGCTCTCGAGAGTTCTAAAATGAAAAGGAGTTAATGCTTATAATCAAAACCTTAAGGATGTGCATGTATGAGTTATTACTTGTGTTCCAACACAAGGCCATTTGATCAAGTATTTTCCTATTTCAGTTGGATTACATCAAGGATTTGCCTTAAGCCCATATCTTTTTGCTTTTAGTCATAGATGTTCTCACTAGACATTTGTCAGAGATTGTACCCTAGTGTATGCTTTTTGCTCATGACATTCTTCTTGTTTAAAAGACTAGAGAGGGAGTTAAAGATAAACTTGAATTATGGAGGTCAACCTTAGAGTCTAAAGGCTTTTGTTTGATTAGATCTAAAATTGAATATACATAGAGTGTAATATTAGTAGTAATAAATATAGTAAGAGTACACGTTTTAGGTATCTTGGGTTAATTATTCAAGTGGTCGTGAAATTGATGAGGATATTATTAATAGAATTTGAATTAGATGGTTGAAATGGAGGAATTCATCGGGCTTTTTGTGTGATAAAAAAATACCCCTCAAACTTACGAAAAAATTCTATAAGATGGTGGTGCGACTTGAAATGCTCTATGGCACTGAATGCTAGCCATTAAAGGAGAAGCATAAAATTAAGTTAAGTGTTGTAAAGATGAGGATGCTCAGGTCGATGAGTGGCTTCACTCTTAGACAGAATGCGAAATAAGTATATAAGTGAAAAGTTTGGAGTAGCTCCAATGGCATATAAGATTAAAGAGAGTTGACTTAGATGGTTTGGACACGTAAAATATTGGTCTTTCGATGACCCGATTAAGAGAGTAGATGTATTAGATTTGACCCATGTTAAGAAAGGTATGTAGAAGTAGACCTAAAAAGACTTGGATAGAAAATATTAGAAATGACCTTTTTTACTAAATTTAAATGAGAAATTGTCTCTTAATAGAACACAAAAGAGAAAAAAAGTTTTTTGTAGATGACCTTACATAATGGGATAAAGGCTTGATTTTGTTGTTATTGTATCTGAAAGATCATTATTATTTTTAGAAGTATAAAAATGTGTTAAGATAATTTGTTTTTTTTTTTAGTTATTATACAATAAAATAATTGGCAAAATCAGATAGGGATATAAACTAGAATACATTCAAATAATAAATGTTACTAGAGAACTTGAGGTAAGAAAAAGAAAGTTTAACGTGATAGCATTGTGTAAAGATCCAGCACATACACAAATAAAAGTACGTCGCAAGAGGATCAGATTTTTTATGTGAAAAATAAAAAAAGATGGAAAACATGGCACTTAGCCCTATTGAAATGATTCAAGTAATGTTTATCATCAGTTATGGATGGTGTTTTTTATTGTGATTAGGGAAGCTATTGATATAATATAATTGGTGTAATAATATGGATAAAAAATAGATTATGGAATGCAACTTAGAAAGCCCTAAGGCATGAGATTTATCTTCAAGAGATTACTTGTTATTTGTTTGATTGTTCTTCTTTATGAATAAGAGAGTAGAAACCAAGAAGTCAAGTATGAATATAATTAGTATTAATGTTGAGAATTAGAGCCGGTGTTGATGGCTTCCACCAACCTTATGATGGCTTGCATTGATACTATTATAATTAGTTAGCAATAAAGTCTAAGGGTTTAGTTATTTGATAATGGTTTGGAAATCATAATTAGGTGATGATAGTGAAAGGACTAGAGTTACAATAATGTTTGATCAATCATTGTTGGGTGAGTGATAGTGGTCCAACTGATGTAATTGGATGATAATGTTTGGGCAACCTGTGATAACCCAAATATTTGAAATGATTTTTTTCTTTTTAAATGAAAATTCTGAATTTTAATGTCTTGCCTTGCTGAAGAAGGAAGAGGAGAAAGTAAAGGAAAGAGGAAAGAAAAAAAATAAAAAATAAAAATCTAATTTTAGCCACCATACGGCTTCGTCGTTTTTGTGGAACTTACTCAGATTGCAGTAGGTGACTCTAATCCTACTTCTGCTTTATAATATTTTGATTTTAATCATTTAATTCTCTCCAGAATTAATTTTATTATATTTTTTATGAATTTATTAAACTTTTATTGTGTAACTTTTTATATCATATTGTATTGATTATTTTGGAGATTTTGATTGTAATATTTCTAAATTTTACCGGATAAAATAGAAGTTATTAAATTTTGTGTATTTTTTTAATAAAGTAATTATTTTTATTTAAGCATATTATTAATACTAGTATTGTGAATAAATATATACATGTGGTTGAGTAATAGTTGATCTCTATTACTATTAAAAAAATGTGACATTAATAAAATAATTAAAAGATTGCATTGGCTGAAGACTGGATGACCTATACAGGATGGTAAGCTAGCAGGCTTTCATTTAAATATATGATTTAGTGTTATCCTTGATTGATACATGTGATATTGATTATGAATTATAAGGAGTTATTATTATGCCGACAGGAAAAAGAGTGACAACTTTATTTACTTAGTCAACAATAATTGACTATGTATTGCTAATACTGAAAGACAATGCTTAAGCCAGGACTTTTACTTGATTAATATGATTGCTAAAATGCATGTTATTGAATCATTATTA